ATAGGAATAACACATTAAAAAAGATTGAACATTTTGTGCATCAAGAATAATTAATTGTGGCTTCTGGTATGCGCAACTTGGGGGCAGTGTAAGACAGTTCAGTAGAAACAAACAAAGAAGAAAACTACTGTACTAAACTATTGATTTAGTATCTGCAGGAATAGTTGTTTATCACAGCGATTTAAGTCTTTATGCGTGTGTGTATTGTGATGGATTGTCTGTCTACATGGGTTGCTGCACTATTTGTTGATACATCTGTCTCTTAAAGGGTTAAAACACACTCAAATGCAAATGAAGTGTTGCCTGTCAAAACCCAAATCTAAAATTGAGCATAGATATTTGAGCCTCCCAGCAGTCAGTCAGGCCTGCTTGTCAGAGCACATAGCTTTCAATCATCAGGTGCTTGCGTGGCTTCCTCGTTTCCTTGTCTTTGTATTTGCTCATCGTCCTGACCTGCTCTCGCACTGTAATTTGACACTTTTATCCACTAAATTCACTCTAAAATGCTAGCCTGCTTGTACAGCATCTTACATAACATATAACCGCTTGTATAAAAAGCTTCGAGTGACACACTCTTCAGGGCACATTAGTGGGAAATGGTGGTGGTTGGGGGAAAAAAAAAGGAGACAAGAACAAACTAGTTTTGAGACTCAAATGTGGAGGCATTATGATTAAATAAACACCCCACAGAAATGTCTGTAAATCATAATTATGATGTGCCAAATGTGTGAAAGCTGCTTCAAGTCCGGAAATAGAATGGTTCTCGCCTAGTAGTAAACTTGCCTGGTCCTTATCTGGTTGTAGTGTTGGTGTGCACTTGTAATAGACTGGTTCTAGTACGGTCCTGTCAAGGACCTAGCCCGGTAGATCAGTCTCTAGCCTGGTACTCGTTTGACAGTCTGTTTCTAATCTGGTGCTCGACTGAGTCTAGTCTAGTATCAGTTTCAAGTTACTAATAGTAGTCTGATTCTTCTTGGTACTGTCGTAGTGTAGATTGTTATTAGTCTGGGTCTCATCTGGCATCTGGTTCTAGTCATGTACTAATCCCAAACGTGTCTGGTTTAGGTCTAGTGCTCATCTGGTACTGGTCTCAAACTATTTTGGTTGGTGTTTGTTACTACTCCGGGTCTCATTTAATACTAGTCTGTTTCTTGCACAGGTCTCTTAAACTATTAGCCTGGTTTTAGCCTGATACTAGTCTGGCACTAGTGCAGTTGTGGTTTGTTATTACTCTGGTACTTGACTGCTAGTAACCTGGTAGGAACCTCTCATCTGGTCCAAGTCTGGTAATATTCTGACTTTCATCTGATACTAGTCTGTTTCCAGTCTGGTTCTCTGGTACTAGCCTCGCTGAACTTCGTTCTAGCCCGGTACTAGTCATAAAGTAGTCTGGTATCTGGCTGTTACTAGTCTGCCTTTAATCTTGTCCTAGCCTGGTAGCAAAATGTTACTATTTGTCTCTTGCCTGGTAGGAGACTGGTGTTTGTCTCCTTAAATTCTGGTACTAGTCTAGCTCTTGACTATCTGTGTCTAGTCTGGTCTAGGCTCGTTGTAGCATGGCTCTAGCCTGATTATATAAGGTGCTTCAGAGTAATGTATGGGCGTGTGATTTATATGTTAAATTTTTTTGAGAGTTTGAGTTACAAAGCTTCCTTTGTTGCATTAAGCCGGTGGGTTTGGCGGGTTGCAAGAACACAACGCCGCTTTCACCGAGACCTAGACCGCGCTCCTCAGAATTCTGCCCTCACTTCCTCGTCCGGGAGTTGACCTTGGCCGGCATCTCTGGAGGGCATCTCGTCGCCTCGGTGGGAAACCTGAAGAATCCCGCAGTTGTGTCCTCTGTTGCCCCGAGGCATGAACGAGACGAAACAGATAGCTGCAGTCCAGCTATTGAAACGCCAAGGGAATGCCAAGGGAACATCCTTGAATTCATGCAATTCCCATCACAAAGATTCTCTCGTGAGTCTATGAAAAAGTGTAGCCATGAAGCTGCAATTGCAAAGAACATTTTGGTCTTTGTATTCTTCCAAAAACTAAATCTTAATATTCCGACCGTAATGACCCACAATGTTGATTCATAGTTGTCAATTTAACAGTTATGAATTGATGACCCTGACAGGATTGAATAAAAACAAATATGTTTTTGTCCCTCTGTCTCTCTCTCTCTCTGTCTCTCTCAAAACACACACACACACACACACACACACACACACACACACACACACACACACACACACATATACATTTTAATTCCTCATTTTTCTGTATTATACATGTTTTCTAATTTGTTGTTTTTTTTCTTTAACTGATTCATTTTTTCCTGTTGTGTTTTTATTCATGTTTTGGAATACACTTCATTTAATTTCTGGATTTACATTCAATCTGTTTTACGATTTAGACCTGTTAACCTACAAGAAAACCAAAGAGCTTTCTCATGATGACAAACAGACAATTGTGAAGCTGCAAGAAGATTCCTCAGCTCCGTTGTGCGAAAGTTCCTTAATGCATGCGGCTACATTAAGGCAATGCAACATTTCATGCTTACGGGAGCACCGCCATTATGCTGGCTAATTTTAGCTTGCATGGCCATGCGTGAGCAGCTGCATACATTTGACACCTCGGGGCAGATGTGATAAGGATCTTCACATTTCAAGCACAATACAACCGAGACGTGTTGGAATAAAGACTCACTTTGGAGAAATAATGAGTTTCCAGTGTAGCACTTGCCCATTCACTTAAAGCTTTGTCAACAAATTCTGTTTTGAACGTAAAATATTGTTATAAAAACATAACATAAATCATCGCCAAGCCTCACTTGATAGATGACAAGAACGTACGTAGATAAACAATACACCTGTCCCAGTAGTGGATGATGTCAGCCGACACATGGCGATTGGCGATACATGCCCCAGTAACCCGATCATATTGGCTATTTAAAGAATGTAAGGCTTTCCCCAAGTTGTTTTCACGGAGGGATGGATATGCTTCACGACTTGGGAACCCTCCAACCCCGCAACCCCATGGGTGGGAGTATACATTACAACGACCCACATTAACTGTTAGCTGGTGTATGTGTGTGTAGTCTCATCCGGATGTGCGGCAGCCTGCTTTTAATCAAATCTCACTTCAGTTTTGTGTGAAAGCGAGATCCCCCAAATGTAGCAGATGGTTTTGTACTAAAGAGCTTGTTTGACAAATCCGTGTGGGAAAGAGGTCCTGGAAACTGTTTGAAAAAGGGCAGACAGAGGTGATTTGATGAAGCTTTAGTGGGTCCCCCAAAAAGTGCGTTGATTTAGTTTGTGTGATCATACTCTATGTTAGTTATCTTAACAGCCAGACAGGACTCCAGTGTCTCCACTTGACGAACCGACAATCTCTTCTCGAATCACATCTCCTCCTCCACGGTAATTACAGCAGATGCATAGACTACACAGTGTCTAATTTACTGAGGCAGCCCACAGTCTCTCGTTTGGATAAAAATGTGTCTCTTTACTGTGGAGAAGTAAATATGGGAGACCTCATTTTTACCAACTGTTATTTTTTAGCATGTGTCATTCCTTGCTAACCTGAACTAATTCTGTCACTGAGCCTTGAGTCTCCATAGTCTCCACTTTGCTGCAGAAGACAGTCTTGGACAAACAATAAGTCTTCTCATTCTGAAGACCCTCATTCTTCACTGTGTTTGCAACAGATGCGTTGACTCATTCTCTCCCAATTTTGCTGCAGCTGGCCTGCAGTTTCCTCCCGCATAAAATAGTGTCTCCTTAGCATGAGGAAGTGAAGACAGAGGACTCTCACCGTATATACTCCATTGGTGTTCCTTTTTAGTGATTCTCTTTCTCAACTGAAGTATTTTTTGCCAATTTCCCACATTACCAAATATTGAAATTTACTTGCTGGAACATTTTCTTCACACCACACCACTCGAGTGTATTTCTCGACGATGTACAGGAAATCTGATCAAGGTGTGTCACATTCGACCAAGTCAGTCATGCGTCACACATACGAACAAGTTCAAAAGTGATTTGATGGTTGAAATTATGTGATGGTAAGATATCAGACATGCTTTTGAGTGGAAGTAATACACCAGCTGTGAAGTATAAATCATGTGTGAACGAGGCAATCTGGCACTTAGGTTGACCAATCATTAATGTTGCCAGAGTGATAAGACTACAATATAATGATGAATATGTAGAATATATGAAACTGAAGCTCAATTAGTTTCAGTACCATCTTTGCTGCATCTCCGCCCGGGAAGTGATTGATCACTACTAAACGTGTCACAAAACAAGTACCCTTTCATAAGTATGCAAATGAGCTCAGCTAGGGGCAGGTCGAGTATGTTTTTTTTTTCTTTTTGCTCATAAACCAAAATACTAACACAGCATGACTGCCTGGAACTCGCAAGCTTAGCACATTACTTTGACAAAGAACACTTAATTTTAAAAGCCATGAACCTTCCAATGGCTCCTGCAGTAATCTACTAAAATACCGAAAGGCTAATAATTATAAGTGGGCACATTATGATAAAGGTAATAATGTAATCTACATTAGACGCAAATGATCCTGAGCGTGAAGTACGAGAACGTTTATATTAATTTATAAATAAAGCTTGTCGAGTCAAATCGATTCAAATCCCACAGGAGCCTTTAGTGCACAAGTGAGGTTAATCACAGTCTATTGCTTTGGCCCTCTATTTCACTCGGGAGGGCTTAACCACTCATGAAACGCCGCAGGTTCACCGAACTCGAAAGAATGTGCATTAAAGCGCTTCATAATGCCGGATGGTCTCTTGAGGACAGGGAGTCTAATACCGTTGTTTTGCACTGTGTATTCAGTTTGACAGGCTTAATATACGTAATTTTTATTTCACAAATGCAATAGTATTTTTTTTTTTTTTTACATTTATTTCCCCTTTAACGTGCATTAGACCACCACGAAACAGAGAATATCAGCACATCAATGGTGATCTTAATCGATCCATTTTCATCCATATTCAGGGGGCCACCGTTTTGGCACATACCGTCCTCTGCCGTTGACTGAAATTGACGTCACAACTGCCCTCGGGCTAGCATTGCGAACGTCACGTGACCTAATCCAGGAAACAGGTGAGCCTTTTTCTCAAGAGCTTCTGATGGTGGATGCTCTTGTGGTAGTGGTGGTGGTGGTCTAGCATTCTTGTTAAGCTCTTTACTATCAGCTTGCAAGATCCAAATTGACTTTCAGTGTGCTGCTTTTTCGAAACTTACTAAAATTGAAACTGTCCACTTTAAAGCACTTTTCAATTCCTATGCTCTCTGAGTGATGGTGGTCAAATGCATTTGTTAAGGAATGTCCATTCAGCTTTCTCATCCGAAAACTAGTCATGTAATGGATTCTTCAATGACGATTTTTTTCTGAGACAAATTAAACGGAAAGCGTCCGCATTAAAGCACTTCATGATGCTGTATGGTTGGTGAACCACAGGAGCTGTAATAGCCAACATTTATCAAGCACTGTACATTGAGTTTATCAGGTACAAAGTACCATTTGGTGGGCTTCTTTTTCAGAGTTCTATTCAATGGAAAAAGTTTGCATTTAAAGCACTTCATGATGTGAGTGCTTTCTTGGGGTTGGTGATCTTGTTCTTCATGCACAAATAAAGCACTATTAAGGCAGTTCACCTGGCGCATTGTGATCTTTAATGTGCTATTTCTACAGAGTGACTGAAATTAAAAGAGTAGGCAGTCTTTATTACTTACATTTCCTAAGCACCGTACAAACGTACAATAAATGTTGGCGGTGGCTACAGTGAGCACGAGTGGGAACACGTCAAGCATCCTCCTGACAAAATCCATCAGCAGCAAGACGTGACGCCTCCAACCATGTTGAAATCCAAAAAGAATGTGAATAGAAGCTAAAAAAGTTGCTGTCAACAGGTGTGTGCTTTGGCTGAAAGGAGCACAAAGTGAAAGATGGACTTTGACAAACCTCGTCAACGCTCTCTCGTTAGCTGGCACAGCTCCCGCCAAACGTTCCCATTCGGGGCAGCTGCAAGGAGAAAGTTGAGGAGGAAGAAGAGTAGAACGATGAAGACAACGAGGGCTCCACACCTTCTCCATGCTCACTCGCTAACCTGTTAGGTAGCACTTTTAAAAGCATCACAAGAATGTGAAATTTCACTTACACGATGGACAAAACTATTGGCAGTAAATGTACAGGAAATGGAAAAAAAATACAATTTGATCCTTCTTGTAATAGTCACTCACTCCTGCCATCCTATTGCGTTGCAAGCAGTTGTTGTTGGACAAATATTTTACACATCACACCAGATGTTGAATTATCAGATTACACAGTGTTGTGTCGTTGCGTGAAGAGACACAGTTGCAGCAATGTCTTGTTTTAGCTGGGTTCTGCACAGTGTTGTTTTTGGTAGCCATTTTAGTTTTAGTCTTTTTGCTGAACATACTTCACATTTTAGTCTTATATGTATATGTGTAGTAATTTTAGTCTAGTTTTAGTCACATTTTTGCTCGTTAATAATAAATATTTTGTTCGTTCGTTGTATTCTATACAATGACAATAAAGGCGATACGTTCGTTCGTTGTATTCTATACAATGACAATACAATGACAATAAAGGCGATTCTGATTCTGATATTTCTTCAATAAGAATTGATAATAAATGCAATAATTTTAACAAAATAGTGCCATATTAAGAAAATATAATGGCCTTAATTATCAAACAAGCAAAACAAAATAATAATAGTATGATAGCGTATTAACCACATAACTAGCACCCGCCCTTTACTGAAGCTTTTTGACTTTCTTTCGAGCATTGGCCGAAAATAGAACGTATCTGGACAACTGAGGGCTTTTTTTTTTGTTGCTTTTTTTTTTTTGTGTAGGGGCAGCAACAGGTCTAAAATGTTACATTTGACACCTTTAAGACCACCCCATGTTGTCAACTGAAATTAATATCAAAGTGTCCACGGGCACCAATTGCAAATGTACAGTAAAGCCTCACCTGTTTTCTGGGTTTGGTCACGTGATGTTCATAATGCGAGCCCAGAGGCTCTTCTTAGTTCACAATTTGTCATCACTGTATTAAATCAAATTTAATACATATAAAATACCAGAGGTAACAGTACTTGTGCTGTACAGTGGGTACGCAAAGAGTTAATACTCCTACCGGTATCGGTTTGAAAAAAAAAAAGGTATTGAACATCCCGACAGATAAACTACCTTTTTGAAAAATCCTTCTGCGTGCACAATGGCTTTGTAGGAGTTGTTGCATGTTTCTGTGCTTGTGCGAAGCGGCCTGCAATCATCCTCTCAGCACAACTTGGCCTTCTTCCCTGTTCCGCGTTCTAATGGCTGCCTCTGGTTGCGGCCACTTCCAGACCGGCCAAGCCACAAATCCAATGGCTAAAAATTTCTCCTGTCGTGCCACCGCTTACAGATGCGACTTCAAAGCAGCCCGATTGGCAGCTGTGTCTAGCTAAAGGGGCGATGTGGTCTCCATGGAGACGTCTCCAAGGCTTTACCGTCACTTGGAAATTTCCTATTAGGATTACATGGCTGAATGAAAGATTTTTTTATGTTACATTTTTATACTTTGTTATATCCCCTTTGAATATTGTGAGCCATGACATTCTTTCACCATTTTATTTTTTATGTACTTATTTTCTTATTTACTTTCATGTATGTTTTTGGTTGAGTTCTTATTATAATTTATTTTTCATGTATTTGAATTTTTTTGTGAGGTTTTTTTTGTTTTGTTTTGATCCTACTAGTTTTTATTTATTTAGTTGTAATTTGTGTTCTCCTTTTGTTTTGTTTTCATTTTATTTTAAATTTATTTTGCAATGTGTAATCAGCTGCTTTTCATTTTAGCTGCTTTTTATTTTGTTATGTATTAATTATTTCATTTAATTTGAGTTGCTTTGGTATTTTCTTTTTCTTTTCTTTTATTACTCATTCATCTCAGTTATGATTTTTTAAATTATTTTTGGGTTGCTTATTCTGTTTGTTTATTTCCTTTGTATTTCTTGACTGAGCATCTTAAACGGGTTAGTTCTTTTTCTGCTTTTTTTCTTCTTTTTGTTCATCTTTTCATCCACCCATCCATTTTCGAATCCGCTTATCCTCACAAGTGTCGTGAGGCGTGCCAGAGCCTACCCCAGCTGTCTTTGGGCAATAGGCGGGGGCCTCCCTGAACTGTTTGCCAGCCAATCATAGGGCACATATCGACAAACAACCATTCACCCTCACAATCACACTTTACAAATTAGAGTGTTCCATTAACCTGCCATACATGTTTTTGGAATGTGGGAGGAAACCAGAGTACCTTGAGAAAACCTACGCAGGCATGGGTAGAACATGCAAACTCCACACAGCAAGGCCGGAGTGCATCCATCCATTTTCCGATCCACTTTATCCTCACAAGTGTTGCGGGGGAGTGGAGCCTATCCCAGCCTTCTTCGGGCAGTAGGCGGGGGACACTCTGAACCAGTTGCCAGCCAATCACAGGGCACACAGAGACGTAAAACCATCCGTGCTCACACTCACCCCTAGGGACAATTTAGAGTGTTCAATCAGCTTGCCATGCATGTCTTTGGAATGCGGGAGGAAACCGGAGTACCCAGAATAAACCCACGCAGGCCCGGGGAGAACATGCAAACTCCACACAGGAAGGCCGGGGCCGGGATAGAACCCACGACCTCTGCACTGTGAGATTGACACGCTAACCACTGGACCACGGAGACGCCCTTCTTTCGATTATTATTATTATTATTATTTACAATGCCTAAATTTGATTTCTCTCTGTGGGATCTGAAAACAATCAAACCTCATCCAACTACAACAACAAAGTGACTAAATAAGCTTGCAACAACCACTGCAATCAACAAATTATCAAATGAGTACCTCTCTGACATTCTCAATCCAAACTGGGTGTTATCTCAGTAAAAGCTTTTTCTTTCCTTGAGACTCATATTGGAACTTATCGTGCTATAAATTGAGTTTTGAATCTAAGTTTAGTGTGAAAGTGTACCTAATGAAGAGACCGATGATTGTAAGGAATACGTTTAGGGCTTAACCTTGTTAGAGGCACTGAACCCAACCAGTTCACATGCACATTCACCAAACCCTTCATTAGTGAAAAATAAAGAATATGATTTTTTTTACATATTCAAGACATTAAAAAACGATTTTATGAAAAACAGACAAAAGTTCATGAAATTTCAATACATAAGTAGTTTTTTTTATTTAATTGTATGGCAGAGGCGCCGTCGAAACCCTGAGACCGATTCACCGAACCCCCAGGTTTCGATCGAACCCAGGTTAGGAACCATTGGTTTAGGGTAAAATGGCTTTTATACTGAGTGAAATCTTCAGACAGAAGTCAGAAGGTGGTTCCATGTCTTCATCCAGTCACACACAGAATTCCAGCTGACACTCAATCTTCCCGTGGCCGGATGCCACACAACAAGTGTTGGCACTAATGAGAGCCTCGCGCAAATCACTTGGGGGTGCTCTTGGGTGTGCGGTGCTCTTGCAACCTGAGCAGCAGAAGGAGGGAGAAAGTCTGCAGTCGTGAATTTCAGGCCCCCAGGGACTGGTCGGAGCCCGGTGGGGGTGGGAGAAAATGTATATTGCTGTGTGTGTGTGTGTGTGTGTGTGTGTGGGCGCGCGCACATGCGCGCATGTGTGTGTGCAGTCGTTGCCATTAACATTGTGCAGCTGTGGCACTTATGCAAGGATTTATTGCATGTGTGTTCATTACAGCTTTAAATAAAATTAATATCTTCCAACAAGTCCAACGATGTAACTGCTCACTACAGAAAAGCTTAAAAAGCCTATAACTGTGTGTTTGTGCAAAAAGTGGTGTCAAATAGACAATGATCCATAAAGAGTGTGTTATAACTGAAGTGGCTGACTTCCTGTGACTTTTTGGGTATGAGTTTTGAGACTTTTTGTGGGTCTAATCATTTTCGACACGCTGGCCAAATTTTATGTTGCTAAGTGAGAAATAGCGTTCGGGGAAAGTATTTTTTTTAATTAGAATTGCCTGCTTCAAACCAAAGGGGGAGACTTTGTGTCTTTTCAGGCATGCCTTGGCATGTTTT